GAGGGGCTGTGACAAACTGTTTCGTCGGAGTTTCACCGACTCATCAGGAGGCTGAACCCTCAACAGTCTGTAGAATCCCCTCACTGATTACACTGTAAGTGATAATCCACCTTAACCAAAATCAAAGTAGACTATTATATATATCGTCACAAACAAAACTGCCCGGTAATATATATAATTTATTTATTTATTTTCGGATTCCATAGTGAATTTCATGGTCACCCTCAGGCAAAAGATGTTTGGTTTGCAATTCTACATGACAGAGATTTTTTTTCAGTTCTTTTTTTTTTTTTTTTTTTTTTTTTTTTTTTTTTTTTTTTTTTTTTTTTTTTTTTTTTTTTTGAAGTGCAGTCTCTTTTTTTTTCCGAAATGTCAGGGTGTTGTAGAACCAAGGTTACGACGACTTGAGTTTATCTGCCTAAAAAATGGAACCAGGACCAGACATGGACGCGATCAATGAGTGAAGAGGGGGGTCCTGGCCGCAACGCGAAAAAAAAACCGGCTGAGAATGGGACAAAGGAACGGAAAGTACCAGAAGGTTACAGTGGGTTCCCGGTTCCGGTAGTCCCTAGTCTGGGTCTGCGAAAAAAAGAGCGGAGAACAAGGGTTGGTCTGTGAATTTGCTAGTAGGTAGCGAGATTAGCATACGGATTAGTAGTATTAATAGCGATTAACGCGTCGGTTTAAACTCCCTTCGCACCTCGTGTGCATAGGAGTCGGTAGCGGACGGGTCAGTGGAGCGGGGGCTGTTGCCGGGAGAGATGGAAGGTCCGCACCGACATTAGCATGTGCATTCACAATATTGTCACGAGCTACCAGGCTACGGGCGATGGATTTTTTGTTCGCTAATTGTTCACAACTTTTTTCGTTGTCCTGTCGTATTGTGCTATATGCATGGTATGCACATGTATGTTGTTTTTCAATGCTCTACACTGGTCCCGTAACCTGCTAAGAACTATACCTGGAGAGGGTGGCGGAGGCGTTTGCCAGAGTGCTGAAGTGTTTGAAGAAAATAATCGGAGAGTTGATGAGGAATAATTGGGGGAGGTCTATGAAGGAGAGAAAGCAGGAGTAACAGAGATAAAGAACTGTGAGAAGATTTCATCGTGGATAAGGATGAGCCAATCAAGTGGCTCGGGTGGAACCGGGGGAGCAGGTGGAAGCAGTGGGCAACCACCGTTACCACCGAGAGTGCATCCCATGTTGGGAAAAACGTGTTTTAAATGTGGCGAGGCCGACCACTTCGCAAGTGTATGCGAAGAGTATCAAGAGGCAAAGGCAAGGGGGTTGAAGTTTGTACCACCGCCGCCGAGACCAAGAGTGGGAAGAACGATGCGGCCGGAGACGACATATACGGATAAACTGATGCGAGAGCATTTTGTGGGATTGGCCGAAGAATGGCGAGCGAGAAAAGAACATGAAGCAAGGGAGCGTGAAGAAAGGTAGGTAGAAGAAACACGCCTGGAGAAAGACAGAAGACGATTGGAACGTTTGGAGGAGAGGAAGAAGTACGAAGATGAGCGAGACGCGAGGTTGTTAAGATTGGTTCGTGGAGAATGGGGAGGAGGTGCGCGAGTAGACAACGAGAAGCCGGAGAAAAGGAAAAAAGAAAAAGGGAAAGTTAACGAAAGAGGTGAGACAGTGGGGGAGGAGAAGGAGAGACTGAGAAGAGAAATCGCGATGCAAACAAGCTCGGAAGAAGACGAGGACAATGAGTTGTTGTTGTTGCGAAGGCGGGCAGCGAGGATCAATATTAATGACAAACGACGTAGAGACCCCGAGAGCAAGACGGAGAACAATCCAACGATGACTACACCAAAGAAAGGACAGAGAGTGGGGTTGATGACTGATGCAAGGGGAGGAAGAATCAGATAAGGAACAGAAGCAAATAACAAAATCGAGGAGATCAGGGGCTCCGAGGCAGGAAGAGCGGTGTCAACATCAACGATACTCGCACCAGTGGGCAAGCTGTCACTGAGCATGAAGCACGTTACGACGGGTAATGGACCTGGCGACCGGAAAAAATATGAGGCAGAATGCCGAGATTTGTTTGAAGCCTTGAGCATAGAAGAACTGAAAGATGTATGCAAGAATGACAAGATAAGCTACGTCAACAGGGACATTGCGATCAAGAGACTAGTAACGAGGCGATTGCTCAAAGCGTATGATCCGATTAATGTACCTCTGCCGGATTCACTGAGAGAGACTCCGAAGGTGCCGAGATCCACAAGATCGGCGGGAACCAAGCAAATAGTGGAGGCCACAGAGGAAGAAAGTGACTTTGCAGATGAGGAGGAATCTGAATGATGTGTCGGGCGCGTGCGGAGGGAGATCAATATACTCCGAAGCCTGAGATCGAAGATCGGCTGCAACAATGAAGCACACAAAGAAAGATTGCGGGCAAGAGTGATTGAATTTGTGCTGTGTGGTGAAGTGTCGTGGTGTGAGAAGCTGTTAGATTACTGGCGAGGCGCGTGTTCAAGCGACTGTCTGGAATTGACGAGACAAGTGGGATGTGTCTATGCGTTAGTATCTCCTTGGTATAAACAAATTTATATCGACATGACAGAGCGAATGCTGAACGCAAGATGGAAAGCGCACGTGGCGTGCGGAAAGAAAAATGGAAGGCGGGATGAAAGGAGAATAAACTTGTATAGATGGGTGAAGAAGGTTGGAGTCGAGAAATATGTGGCAATTCCACTGTACTTTGATAAGGACAGACAGGAATTGAAAGCTGTTGAGAAATTGTTAATAAGGACATGGTCGCCGTCACTGAACACGAAAGTGAAGAAACAGAGAACGAAGAGCAGACGAAGACGAGGAAAGAAAGAACAGAGAAGAGGTAAGAAGAACAAGGAAATGAAGTCGCCACCGAATGGGGGGATCAAGTACGTCTAAGATCTTGGTCATGAAAACGGAAGATAGCTGTGAAGCGACGGTACGACTGGTCTGCTTATTTCGAAAACTGGCGAAGAATGGGAAAGAGAGGGAATACAAGCTGCTAAGCAATGGCGGGAAGGTGCAGACAAACAATTGGCGAATAATGAGGAGATTGTTTGGTGAGACGAGAGTCTGTGTGGGAAAGAGGACAAGGCCACTGAGAAAATGCAAGAAGATACTCGAACAGGAAGGGTGGGTGAGAATTCGAGATGTGAAGGAGGCATCACCAATGGCGCTAGAACTGAAAAGAAAGCTAGTACAAATGTTCAAGTTCAAGAAGAAAAAGGAGAAACTGAGGAAATTGCTGATCAGCGATTTGATCAGGTATTACGGCGCAGCAAAAATATTTTCAACAAAGAGAAGCCGATCCAGGGCTAAGAAGATCGTGACGGACGTGGTAAGAGAGAAGTTCGGAATGCAGATCAGTCGGCGAGTGGTTACTAAAGTGAGGTATGATGAATGGATTAAGAAAGGGGAAGTGGCAAGGCTGGTGAAAAGAAAGATTGGTGGGCTACCTCGAGATAATGTCGTGAAGGAGATGGTGAAGCAACGAACTCGAGTAGTCTGGATAAGAGGTCCAAACGTCGGGGAGATTATCCACAATCATCGCCGTTATGCGGCGAGTGGGGTTGCGAGATGCTGTTGCATCGACTCGTTCCTTCCGAAAGAGAAGGGACACGTTCATTTCCGACTAGGCACTTGGGAGGGATGCCCTGAGATTGCGAAGAACACGAAGAACGTTCCGAAGGATTGGGTAGACGAATGCGGAAAGAGAGTGGGGGAAGAGATCATGAGCTCGATTCACGGAATCGATTGGCTGAATGTGGATGCAAGCTTCGTTAAAGTAACCGAGATTGAGTTGAGTCGGTGTGTTGATAAGTCAGGAAGTACGGAGGAAGGGAATATGGAGCAAGTTATAAACTTGAAGAAGAAGCTAGACGGATTCGTGTGCACTCCTCTGGACCGGAATCCAGGAGAGAGTTTGGTCATGTGTGCGGAGAGGTACGCTGCAGGCATGAGAAGCACTTTGATCGCTAATGAGGGATACGAGAGGAGGAAGGAAGAGGAGAAGGAGATACTTGAACGAATGGGAAAGGAGTATCGGAAAAGAAAGTTCGGCGAATATGGAGTTTGGAAGAAGGGTGGAAGACTCGGACACGCATATGCGCTCCCCAAACACAAGGACACTACAAAATCTCGCCCTATCTGTCCAACATTCAGTGAACCAGGAAATGGACTCTGCAAAAAGGTTTCACAAGGGCTGAACGGGCTGCTGTTCAATCTACCTGAGAGCAGACACTTCAATCTGAAGTCGGTGCATCTCATGACCGACAAACTGCAAAGAATGAACAAAAAGCTGGAGAGAGGGTGCGCGAACGTGGGAGTGATAGCGGCTTCCTACGACATCAAAGACATGTTTAGTAGGTTGCCACATGAGACCATATTGAAGGCTGTGGATTGGTGTATCTGGTGGTTTGAGACGAGAGGCTTCCAAGGGATTTTTGTGAAAGTCAGGGGGAAGGGGGCAAAATTGAGTAAGGGTACGAAGATAGACGGGTATAAGTTTCTGAGCTTTACCTTTGTTCGCGAGTATGTGGAGTTTGATTTGGGAAATTGCTTTACGGTTGCGTCGGGTATCATCTTGAGACAGACAGTGGGGATTCCGATGGGGAAGTCCTCGAGTCCTCCCCTGACCTGCCTAATGTGCGCGAAATCAGAACGGGATTTCTTGCTGACATTGGGAAGCCAGAAAAAATTGGTAGCAGGAATAAGGTTTGTTGACGATGCATCAGTCTTTGTAGCATTTAATAGACGGAGTGAGGAGTCGAGACGAAGGCCAGAGGAGACTGTACAGGCGTATGAGGCATGTTATGATGCGAACCTGACACTGAAACGAACTGATGCCGGAGAGAGAGAATGGGATTTTTTGGGATGTCGTCTGAAGGTCGGGGATGAATTCCCCTTCCTTGGCTGCTATCAAGTAATGAAAAATGAGAAAGATTTGATTGGTGGCGGTGACCTGACATTCCAAACCTTCCAGGATTTCGGTTCATGGACAGGGAAGAAAGCGAAAGTAGCGGCCATTACAAGCTGCTTACATCGGATTCGGCAAAACTCGACATCGACCCCTGGAATGATTGGAACGGTCATCCTGTTGCGAATGGAGCTTCGAAGAAGGAGTTATCCGGATGGGCTGTTTCGGCAGGCAATTCGGATTTTCGCGAAGGACAAAGAGAGGGTGTGGAAGATGATAGCAGAACTGTTGTGCCCGCGAGATGTATGAAGAAGTGGATTTGGTAATGAGAAGACATAGGAAGGGTGGATCAGGAACAAGTAGGCCAAGTTGAGAACAAAAGTGCTGTATTAGGGGATATTTGTAGGAAGGGTGAAACAGGGAACAAGTAGGCGGAGATGAGAATAGATGTGTTGTATTAGGAGATATTTCGGAGTTACGACGACCTGGGTTTATCTGCCTAAAAAATAGAACCAGGACCGGACATGGACGTGATCAATGACTGAAGGGGGGGGTCCTGGCCGCAACGCGAAAAAAAGACCGGCCGAGAATGGGACAAAGGACCGGAAAGTACCAGAAGGTTACAATGGGTTCCCGGTTCCAGTAGTTCCTAGTCTGGGTCTGCGAAAAAAAAAGTGGAGGACAAGGGTTGGTCTGTGAATCTGCTAGTAGATAGCGGGATTCGCGTACAGATTAGTAGTATTAATAGCGATTAACGCGTCTGTTTAAACTCCCTTCGCACCTTGTGTGCATAGGAGTCGGTAGCGGACGGGTCAGTGGAGCGGGGGTTGTTGCCGGGAGAGATGGAAGGTCTGCACCGACATTAGCATGTGCATTCACGATATTGTCACGACGGGCGATGGATTTTTTGTTCGCTAATTGTTCACAGCCTTTTTTGTTGTCCTGTCGTATTGTGCTATATGCATGGTATGCACATGTATGCTGTTTTTTAATGCGCAATGCAGGGTGTTGTAGAGGCCAAGGACCAGGCCCGCAGTGATTGCTGGTAGCGGCAGCCAATGGTTGTCTTGACAGGATAGTCCACCTACCCTACCCATCCCCATGCTAATACTCCCAGCGCACCCCCTATCCTTTTTATTTTATTTATTTTTATTTTTTATTTTTTTTTAAACGGGCCCAGTGCCCAAGGCTGATATTATCAATAACAAGATTGAGGCCAGGATCCTCACAGTCTGCCCGGAATGAACATACAGAAACCGCTAATGATGTTAATGAGAATGATGATTCAAAATATGAAAAATTAAAGAAAAATATGCTATATCAGCTATTCTGGCGTCCTAATCCTAGAACAACTCTCAACCCTCCCTATATCAGGACACTGTGCCTCAAAGACAAAACCAACCTAACTAATTGTCAACCATAGCTGATCTCTTCTCGCTTCATTTCAGCCCCCCCTGGTTCACTACTAGACTGCCTTCCACCCTCAGCAAACCCTAGATCTTTCTACAAGGCCTCACGCTCCTGCTATTAATAGGTTACATGGCAACGCCCCAGCTCCGACCAGCGTCGTTCTGGCATCAGCAAACCAAGGGCTCAGAACAGAGCAACTAAGTTGAAATCAGTCCAGGTTCAACCATCTCTGAAGTCCTACATCCCGAATGTGGAAGAATGCTAGATGCTGCCAAAAACTTCAGAACACCAAAAAGCTTAATACAACAATAATCAGATGATGAAACTAATGGTGTGATGATGATGATGATGATGATGATGATGATGATGATGATGCTATATCAGCTATTCTGGGCTCCTAATCCCAGTACAACTCCTAGCCCTCCCTATACCAGGACACTATACTACAGAGACAGAAACAACCTGACCAACATCAACCATAGCTGATCTCTTCTCGCCTCCTTTCAGCCCCCCCCGGTTCACCACTGGAATGCCTTCCACCCTCAGCAAACCCCAGATCTCCCTACAAGGCCTCACACTCCTGCTATTTACAGGTTACAGGGCAACGCCCCAGCTCCGGCCAGCGTCGTTCTGGCATCGGCAAACCAAGGGCACAAAACAAAGCAACTCAGAAAATATCAGACCAGGTTCAACCATCTCTGAAGACCTATATCCCGGATGTGGAAGAATACGAGATGCAGCCAGAATTTCAGAGCACCAAAAAGCTTAATATACCAATAATCAGATAATGATAGCCGAGAATTTCAACACACCTCCATTCTCTTCATTACCCTGTTTATCCCTTTACTCTAATCTGCCCCCGCTGGGATTTGATGCCCAGCCCCAGAAAAGAGTATTCCTCACAATCTGCCCATACCCCCTCCAGGATTCCACCTCCCTCCTAACGAAACCCCTGCGGGGCCGGGCTCTCCCCTACCCCCTCACCAAATTGTCATTCCACTTGGATTTTATTGGAGGCGAAGGACAGCGCCCTGAAGATAATGATAACGGAAATGATGATGATGATACGAAAAGCGACACGAAGCCTTGAAGAGTAAAATCTACCGATAACAAAAAGATATCGATAAAGATGATGATGATGATGATGATGATGATAAATATGATGATGATGATGATGATGACGATTAACCAATGATGATACTCATGATGATGATTATGATGATATCAATAATGCTGTTGCTGCTTCTGCTGCTGCTGCTGCTGATGATGATGATGATGATGAAGATGATGATGATGATGATGATGATGATGGTGATGATGATGAAGATTAATATGATGATGACGCACCAATGAAGATGCTCATATTGATGATGATGATGATGATGATGATATGTCAGTTATGCTGACGATGATGATGAAGATAATGGTGATGATGATGTTGATGATCATGATACTGATGATGATGATGATGATGATGATGATTATGATGATGATGATTATGATGATGGTGACGAAGCTGATGATGAAGATAATGATGACTCACCAATAAAGATTCACATAATGATGATGATGATGTCAGAAATGCTGCTACTGCTGCTGCTACTGCTGATGTTGATGCTGCTGCTCCTCTCTGTCCTTCTGTTGCCCGGCACTCCCGCTGCCACGTTCTTTCCACCTCGATGCTGAACATGAAGATGATGGTGATGATGATGCTGTTGATGATGGCAACGGTGATGACGAATCTCGTTACTGATGATGATGAGCACTTGACGAAATGGATTCTCTCCTCGAAGCCCTCCCACTCACTATCCCCTGACAATCCTCCTCCCACTCCACGGGACACACTGTACTCTTCTTCTTCTCGCGCCGAGCCGACCTCCTCCACCTAAAGTCGCAAGATGAAGAGCACTAGTGATTACTCCTAGAGTAGTGCCCAAATAAGCAGTACCCTCCTTCATCCGGCATGCTATCCTGTAGCATCACTCGTTTGAAGCGCGAAGTAGAGAGATGACAGTAGACCTGCTTTCAAAAGTCAGGAAACAGCAGGTGTTGAGGTTGAAGGCTTAGATGCCATTCCATCCCCCCGTCGTCCTCATGGCCCGACACGCTCGAATTTCATGGCGCGCCCTAAAACTTCGATATCTCATGATCCGCTGGACCGTTTGGTCTGAAATTTGGACCACCTCAGCTCTCAGCGTAGACCACTGGTGGTCCAAATTTCAGCTCAGGGCGCGCGCCCAATCGCGCACAATCGTCGAGCGCACGCGCGCTATTTTCCTTGCTGCGTGCAGTTATCAGGCGCGCGCGGCCCCTCTCCGTGGTGGTGACCTTGATTGGATGCTGCAGGGGCGCAGCGCTCTCGGTAGCGCTGCGCCCCCGGCTTCAATCCTTTGCTGTATCGAAGGGACGCTGGCCCTGTCCCTACTATCCTACCTCAGTGTGACCAGCACTCAGGACCATCATCCTATGAAGTGTAGTCTCCTCTGTCTCTCCCTCACCTGCTGCTGCTGCTGAAGAAGAAGAAGAAAAGTCTCCTCTGTCTCTCCCTCACCTGCTGCTGCTGCTGCTGAAGAAGAAGAAAAGTCTCCTCTGTCTCTCCCTCACCTGCTGCTGCTGAAGTTCCGCCGACACTGACAGGCGGAATGACCCTCTCTGATGCAGGTTGCTTAAGTGCAGTCCAAGCTATGGCTCCCAGGTAAGTCGTCCTCTAACCAGTGGCTATGGCTCTCCAGCCTCGATTCTCCCACTACCTCCTACTCCTCTACCTCTGCCTCAAGCGTAGCACTCCAGAGTCGCATGCTGCTCCAACAGCGTGATGCTCACAATGTTGCCCAACTGAAAATCTGTCGAACTGGACTGCCCTCGCACTAGATATAGTGTTTGGCCTGGCTGGGCAGCCCACGGTCTGCATCCAGGAGCGTTGGATCTAAGATCCGATGGAAGGGCCTGAGTGCAGGCCCAAATCCCCCTCCTGGTGGTATCTTGCTGCTACAGCAGGTCCTACCTATTAGGGGAAAGTCCGAGGTGACACACCTGGAACGGAGAAAAATGGACCAGACAGCAAGACTCAGCAAATAAAGAAATAAAGAAATGCTGCATCAAAAAAAGAGGGCAAGAATCAGCAAAAAGATAAATAAGGGAATAAATAAATGGTGAATCAAAAAAAGACAGCAAGACTCAGCAACAAGATAAATAATTGAATAAATAAACGCTGAATCAAAAGAAGAACCTGCATGGGGCACTTAGTGCCAACGAACTGGGATAGTCCTCTGGATACTCTTGATCGGTATTAGTGGAATCTATGACCAAGTGTGAGTGCGAGCGCGAGTGGGTTGTGTGTGGTGTGTGGGAGAGTGTTGGCCATAGCTACTGCTGCTACTCGATGAGGGGTGGGGGACGATGAGAAAGGGAGGCGCAGCTACTGGCAGGTCTCGGTCTTTGTGTTAGCCAGACCCCCACTGCCGGCCCCAACCCTATACCCTAAACGTTAGGGGCAAGGGGCAACATGAAATCTCCCCTTCACAGTGAGAGGAAACTATGCTTGCAGGGGTCCCCTCTAGATAGCCTTAGGAGTGGGTAGTGAAAGGCAAAAACAGAAGTTGAGAGAATAATATAGAAAGGAAAAAAAGAAAGAAAAGAAAGAAAGAAAGAAAAAAAACAAACATGCCTGGTTGTCCTTCGGGACATCCCTTAAAATTGGAACGATACAGAGAAGATTAGCATGGCCCCTGTGCAAGGATGACACACATAAATCGAGAAATGGTCCAAATTCAAAAAAAAAAAAAAAAAAACATGCCTGGCCTGGGGCCTCGTCCCACTTACACCGTTGAGGTTGCTCAACGTTGGTTTTTCAATGCTGTGTGGCACAGGGCGACGCACGGGATGGAGCGGTCCGCTGTACATCGCGCGGTCGATTTTTTGTGATGTTCCGTATTCACCTAAAAACTGTCTTTTCTTCGACAGGAAATGCGTGTAAAACTGGAATACCTCGTTTAGAACGCCCCCTACCCTTCGACGTTTGCGTTGAGCTAGCTGTAGGGAAAAAAGCAAGCAGCTAGCTCAACGCTTCTTTTTTTTTTTCTTTTCTTGCGTATCTATTATGTTTTTCCCGATTCGTCATCATTGCGGGATGTCAGACCCTTAGTGGCCGCCTGCATATACGGGCTGACGGCGCAGCTCCTCACAACCGTTTCACACCGTAAGGGTTTTTAGTTGGGTGCGAGTGCATGCATGTGCCTCAAATGACGACCACGTACATTGGTTCGTGCGTTTCATAAGCCACGCCGATGTCGCGATACCCTCGCGATACCCTCAAAACACATGTCCGGAGAGGCCCAAT